TTATAAGTCTGCACAGCTTTACCTTTTGATGCTAGTAATTCACTTAAGAGGGCTCACAGTAGTCTCACCATACTGCAGAAACCATTTGTAATTCTCAAGGTACTTTTTATCCCCAAACAATTGGCTTCCCGGGTCTGTAATATTGCTTTGTGCTAATAATTTTCCTGCTTTTATTTGAGATATCTGGAACCCTCTAGAAAGTGGGGGCGAGGAAATAGGTCTTAAGTACCACTTCATCCTCTTCTGCTTCTCTTTAATTGACCCAGTGGAAAAAGGGAGGATATTGCAAGTGTTTTAGCAATTATCCTAAGAAATAAGAGATTCAGTGGGTTTGCGTTTATGAAATTTAAACAGCAGCTTTGACACCTTTTCCTATTGCTCCAGATCAGGATCTTAATGATTCAACCCTGTACCCACTTGCATGGGAGCAGGCCCCTTTGAACTCAGTGGGGCTTACTTCCAAGTAGACATATATAGACGATCGCATTGTTCCAAACTGTATCATCCAGACCAGGCTGGGTTCCTTTCTTTGGGTTGCAAAGCCTCCTGACTCTTAGTCAATGAAATGTTCACAGGGCTGGTTCCCCAGCTCCCCAGCTAAGTAATTCAGTAGCATACCCCCCAACATTCCTCAGGTAAAAATAGGGACATTGTATTCTACATCATCATCACGGCTGCCCCCTTTCTTTTGCACATTCATTTTTTTATTAACGTTTTTGATGATACAGACAACCCTCTGAAGCCCATCTAGCTCCAGCACTCACCCCAACCCCCATAACCTCCTTGTCCCCCACAACCCTCAGCCAGCTATATCTTTCCCCATCACCCCCAGGGCCTGTTCTTGCCCATCCAGCTGCCCCCTTCTCTTCAAGCCTGACCTCCTTCCTGTTTTTTATCTGGCATGACTGGCTGGATCAGCAATATCAAAAGCAACACGATGGCCAGAAAAAATAACAATGTGAACAACTTTATGGAATAATTCAAAACAACAACACTAACAAACTAAAGTCTCTGAAAGTCCTTAAATGAATAACGGTGCCAGACTTTACCTGGCGCAGAGCAAGATGTGAAGCTTTGTATAATCGGCAAATGTCCAATTCTGATGTCCAACTCTGAACTCTGCTGAACAGTGTTTCTGGATAACAACTACAGTTTCGCTGAATTCTTCATCAGCCAATTAGTTCAACACTTGTAAGCAGAAAAGAGACTTTAGTTTGTTTGTTTTGATGTTTTGAATTATTCCATAAAGTTGTTCACATTGTTATTGTTTCTGGCCATCATGTTGCTTTTGGTATTGCTGACTCCTATTTTGCAACACAGGGGTTGGTTTGTTTACTCATTATGACCGGCTGAATGGCTAGCTGGGCTCCCCTCCAGGCCGGACAGTTGCAGACTCCCTTGGTGGGAACAGCAACGTTGGCGGGGTCCCTGTCGCCTTCCTCTCCCTTCCTCCTCCTGCTGTTTCTGCTACTGCTGCTGCTACACCAGCCAGCTGGCCTGTCTGCCTGGCTCCCTCCCTCTTCCCCCAACCCCACCTTCTCTGACTCCCAGGAGCAGCAGCAATGGAGGTGGCGGTGGAGGAGGAGAAGGCAGTCTCAGTCACCAACTTTCTCTTCCTTCCGCTCCTCCCAAAGTGGAGTCATTTCTGGTTAGCGTACCTTAACAAAGATGGGAATTCGAGGCTCTACATGACAAACTGAGAAGCCATGATGCCTTAAGGGTTTTCATGACACGCTGATGTTGGTGAGAATTTCTTGGGATTGATTATGAGGGCATGTTTGGGATTTGGGGCTATATCAGAGTCTAGGCAGCCAACAGCAGAGAAGGGATTCCAACCAGGAAAGAGAATTGTGGGGCAAAGAGGAGGAAACAAATACTACAGAAACTACATTTTTAGTCTAACAGGGTCAGAGAGCCTCCAGAACTTAAGGTGAGCCAGCAACACAGGGAAATGAGCACTGGTGCAGTTTGATATTAGAAGGTCCCAGGTTCAATCCAGGAGGGCTTTTGTGGTATTGTCTCATAATCTATACCAATATCTATATAGTTGCTTAGTCACAGAGGTTCAGCTACTTAGCCTGGTGTGGAAAACCACAGATGACTTAACTTAGTGCTTGAAACACTGCAAAATATTTTGAAAAAAAAGTTTCCAAGCTGTGTCTGCAATTTTGTGCAACTTGAGGGGATTTGAATTACTTTGTTTTGCAGCCAGGCAAACTTCACTGTACAAGAAATCAGGAAGGGGAAACCCTTCAGACGTATACACTAAGCTATAATAAAGAACCAAGAGGCTAGATAATAAACAGTGTCACAGTGAACCAAGAGAAAGTCCAGTAGCTTTGAACACTGCTGTGTTTAAATTCAAGATTAAAATATGGCACAAATGTAATGATTTTAATTTAAAAGTACCTGCTCCCTTATTGGATTTTCCTGTTAGAAATTGAAGCTGCAAATCTTAATGCTAGGCTGCCTCTTTGACTTCAGTATATGAACTTGCTTTTGCTTCTTCCCTTCCTCCATTGTTTTTATAATTCTAGGTGCTTCTTCTCTGTGCAGAAGGCAATGGTGATAATGAAAACTGTGTGTAAAATAGCCAATAGACCCATGCATCCATTTTTCTAAATGCCTAAGCAATGGGATACACAGGATGAACTGCCTCCTCAAAGTCAGCTTCTCTGTTGACCCTGCCAACTTTTAATCAAGGTCCGCTAAAAAGCTTACCCACAGCTTCACATGTAAAGAAAATAAAGTCAAGTTGGGGGAGAGAGGCATAATCTGACGACTGTGTCTCTCCAATGACCTGGCACAATTCCCATCTGGATGCTAGATTAAGACTAAAATAAGAAACAGGACCTGAGTGCAGCAGCAAGTGATGGCGTTCCCCAGCAATTGCCATTCAGAGGATACTAGAAGTAATAAATAGTCGTTGTGAAAAGTAGTCCCTGATAGCCTTCTACACCTTGTCTAATCCTCTTTTAATAAAACTATCTAAATCGGTGGCCATCCCCATATCTTTTGGTGGGAAATAACATAGTTTAACTATGTGCTGCGTTGTGTACCTTTATACTCCCATTAAATGGCTATAAAGGTAAAGGGACCCCTGACCATTAGGTCCAGTCGTGGCCGACTCTGGGGTTGCGGCGCTCATCTCTCTTTATTGGCCGAGGGAGCTGGCGTACCGCTTCCAGGTCATGTGGCTATAGTCCAGGGCTAAATCACAAGCTTTGCATGCAAAAGGTTCCAGGTTCAGTCCCTGGCATCATCTCCAGAGCTGTTGCCAATCAGTGTTGATGGTGCTGAACTAGATAGACCAATAGTCTGTCTTAGCCTGTGTGTGTAATACACACACACAGTGGTACCTTGGGTTGCAGAGACAAACACTTCCTGTACTTCCTGTACAGGAACAAAAGGAAGAGCTCATATTACACTCTGAGCTAATTCCGGTGCTTCGCACTGTGAATTGACTGTCCCTCTGTTTCCCACAGACAGTCCCAACATCATGTGATGTTTTCAAGCTAGCAGCTCGCAGCTGCATTGCTTCTATATCGTAACATTTTTAACTTTTAAAAAATAAAAGCAAATTAAATATTTTTTTTCATGAAATCAACTTTGCATTGTTTTCAAGTACTTCATTAAGGACCTCCAGCAGCGATAACCACAAGCTCTGATGCTGTATTTTGCAGTTTCCGGACAGTCCCAAGCAAAAGCTCAGTCGGTAAATTAGTCACGATGCTTTACAGTAATCTAATCAGGAGGTTGCTTTATATAATTCTTACGTTTGATTTCCACGGAGCTTAAAGCTGATTGTGTGGTTCTTCCTTCCATGTTATCACAGCAAGAACCTGTGAGGTAGGTTATTCTGAGAATTGGTGGCTGGCCTGCGGGAGATTTGACAATCTAACCATTACACCTCATTGATTACCAGAATTATCATATGCAGGTGCTCTGTGCCACAGATGCCACAAGTAATAACAGCACTCCAGTATTTTAAAATGAAGCTGGTTTGAAGTTCCCAGAAATACTTGACAGTTTACAGAGAGTAGTTTCCTTGCATAAATATTGATGCTGGGTCTGCAGAATATTATTGGGAGAGAAAATGAGCTTCCCCGATACTGGCAAAGCAGCATCTCATTTATGCAACATCCTCTTGCCATGATGCTCTGGCCTTCCTGCAGCACCCTGGGGCATTTGCTTTAGAATATCATAAATTGTAAGCCACTCAGACTGTCATCCGCAAGAGACTTTGCAGTGAGACCAATCATGCCTCATAGGACATATCCTTGCAGTTTCCACTTCCCCACTGCCTGACCCCCATCATGTGAAATCTCTGCTTATGGCACTCCATAAGGCTCTGAACAAAGAGACAATAGGAAAGGGTTTCTTGAGTAGACGTTGATGGAATTTGCTCCAGATTGTGGGCTGCCTTCCAGACTTGATGGTACTACAGCCATCATCAGAGCATGTCACACTGGTGTTAAATAGACGGTTCTGAGACCAATCTTAATATAACTTAAATTTTTGTAGAATTGTACCTGTTCTAGAGTTGGACAGGGTTCTAGCTCAGTGGTAGGATGCATGGTTTCATGCAAAATGCCCCTGCCATCTCCAAGAAGAGTTGGACTAGACCCTTGTCTGGAACCCTGAAGAGCTGCTATCAGTCAATACTATCAGGCAATACTGAGCTTTATAGACCAACAGCCTGATTTAGTGTAAGAGCAGCTTCTTAAAAAAAAAACATCTTTTTCAAGCACTACCATAAGGATTTTCAACAATCATAATGCAGAACTGTCAGTTCAGTTTCTCTCAGTTTCTACATTTCCCAGCCTTAAATTCAGTTTGCCACATTTCTACAACAATTCGCAGAATTTTTTAGCAAATCCTTATTATAATTCATCCATGTTGCAGGGCAGACTTCTCACACATTTTAGTGTACAGATAGGTAGCCGTGTTGGTCTGCCATAGTCAAAATAAAAAAAATCCTTCCAGTAGCACCTTTAAGACCAACTAAGTTAGTTCTTGGTATGAGCTTTCGTGTGCAAGCACACTTCTTCAGATACCTGGTATCTGAAGAAGTGTGCTTGCACACGAAAGCTCATACCAAGAACTAACTTAGTTGGTCTTAAAGGTGCTACTGGAAGGATTTTTTTTATTTTGACATTTTAGTGTGCAGCTTTGATTATCAATCAATCAATCTTTATTACGGTCCAGAGACCCAACAAATCATTACAAATCAATACACAATTCATACAGCCTACCTCCAGGTTAATCAAGCATTTTGTTTAGAATATAGGGCTCATTTGTTCTTGCAACCACCGATAAAACTTTGCCACTGCCAACGTTCTAGCATTTGTCCGGTCTTCCAGTAGGAACCTGACATAGTGAGCCTCTGATTTTCCCGGGAAAGGTACCAGCAAGGGTAGTATCAGTTCAGCCCTGGCGATGTGAGGGTGATCTGGCTGCGACATCTGTCACCCCATTGATCGCCAGGGTTGATTCGGCTGATCTGGCTGGCTAGGCGGGTGTCCCCTTCCTCCCTCACCGCTCCATGTGCGTCCCTCCCGAAGGTGCGCCCTCGGTGGAAGAGGACAACCATCCCAGAGAGAAGGAGTGTACCATTCTTCGGTCAAGGGTATACGATAGCTGCGCTCCCCTGCTAGAACCTCCAAACAAGCTTTGATTAATATGCAGCTTTGTGGAAATATCCTTGTCTAATATAATGCATTTGTATGTTATTTTTCACTGATGTTTGCATTTTTGAGAACTGCACCACAAAATTCAGAGCAATGCACCTTCCAAAGGATAATTTTGTTTTGGTCCCCATATTGTTTTGAGAAGTGCAAATTTAGGTAGTTTCTCATTAAAATGCAAGTGAAATTATCCCCGGTTCCTCTGATACTGATGAATGCAAATGTCATGAATATTTTCCCCCCAAAAGTAATTTCAAATACAAGTATTTAATTATTTGCACTTAAGCCCTGTCTCAAACAGATCGCAAACATTTTAAAACAAATGTTCCCAAACTGAGCAAGCATTGGCCATTTTGTTTGAAATTATTAAAACTCATTAAGCCAAAGAAACACAATGTTGACCTGCTTCTGATTTGCATGTGATGACTTGTGAACATCAAGATGAGTTCCTCAGCTGTCTCTTGTGCAACCTTTCTTTAGCGGCCAAGGTATTCAGCTCACAAGGGAATGTGGTTCTGATTAGAGAGTCTATTTAGGAAAGTGTGTGGTGAAAATGCAGAATGGCAATTCAGTACAGGAAAATGATAATTAACATAATCAACATAGTCTCTTACAAGTTATTCCCAATTCATTATTATGTTTATTTCATAATAGGAAAGTTAATCCTTCTATAAATATTCAGAAGCCAGTCTTCTGCTTACTAACAGCAGCAAGATTGATGTTTGCTAAACATTGCAAAAGGCAGCAGAGAGCTAAGAAAGGGAATTGGTTGAGCGGGCTGTGGGAGGTGATTAATTTGGTGAAAGTTTCCAAAAACTTAGTATTACATGCAAAAATGTATGGGAGAGTTGGAGACTGGTTGTTTCACTAATGCAGTTGTAGCTCTTGGGTTGTTCCCAATGAAGTCATACACAGAGTTGAGCCCACTGAAATTAGGCATTTATTTCAGTGGGTCAACTCTTGAGTATAGCTTCAATTGCATACAGCTGTCAATTTCAAATGTCAAATATCTGAAGCTGATTTAAAAGTGGGTGGGTGCTTAGAAATGATTTATTTTATATACAGGAATTGTACCCATGCTTTTTCTGTATGTATCGTTCCTTCATGCAGTGTGTGTGTGTGTGTGTGTGTGTGTGTGTGTGTGTGTATGTGTGTGTCTAATAATTTACAGTGCGTTCCTAGCCATGCCTACTCAGAAACGTCCTATTGAATTCAATGGGACTTACTCCCAGGTTAGTGGGGTTAAGATTGCAGCCTTCATGATCATTTGATGATAGGTGCATAATTGCAATGTTCTGAATACAGAAATTTTAATTTTGAGTTTCTTTCATATGAAATCAAACTGTTCAAAAATGAAGCTGGACTTAATGACGGAAGTGCAACACCAACATTATTTTTCAACCAAATATCTCCTCATAGATTTGCTTACACATGTGGGAAGGCGCATATTCTACTCCATCAGGTTTTCTGTTCCAGCAGTGACTGACTGCAAGCACAAATACTTCTCCACCTTACCATTCAAAACATGCTTGTTCAGATTTTGTTTATAGCTCACTCATCCTCTGCATGTGTGTTCAGAAGTAATTCCCACTTGTTCAGTGGAGCTTATTCCTAGGTAAGTGCACAGAAGACTGGAGTCTTAGAGCCCTTAGTGAGTTGATATTCCTATCTATCTATCTATCTATCTATCTATCTATCTATCTCTATCTATCTATCTATCTATCTATCTATCTATCAATCATCTATCTATCTATCTATCTGACATGCGCATCATACTGTGAATTTAACTCAGGCTATCTTTGTCATGTCAAATATGAGTCAGAAATGGCCCTGAATAACACTTTGTTAACTTCTGTGTCTCTATAGAAAAAAATATCATTTGTCTTTATCTTAAAGATCTTTCCATAGGTAGTGTAATATGAAGATTCCTAAGCAGGTCTCTTTCATTAAGAGTTTTTTTTTTTTTTTACTGCTATAACTAACCTTTCACAGAATAGATACAAGCCTTCCCTCACTCATTGTCACTGCTCATAGTAGTAATTTGGATGGACTATTCACAATTGCTTTTACACCCCACCATTATTCTGTCCCCTTCCACACTATCAAAACACTGTCCTTTTTCACATTAGAAAAACCCAGTTATGTGTAGTAACCACTCTGAAAAACTCTCCCCTCCTCCGGTCTGTTACATCTGCTATATCTCACTTTTCTCTCACATGATGTAGCTCAACACAGCATGCACAGGGGTGGGAAGCAAAATGTTAAGGCTTGCAATTGAGATGTACTAGAGTAAAAATAGATTTACATTTCTGGAGATAACACTGTGCTGCATTTACATCGAAACAGAGAGCTGTCAAGGTTGCACCAGCCATTCTTTGGCTCAGTTTTGGCATTTTTAGGCTGCAGTCCTATGCACACTGGGAATAAACTCCATTGGATGCAGTGGGTCTTACTTTTGAGTAAACATGTTAACTGTTGATGACTAGCGATGCAATTTGGGTTGGAAGGATCAACTTATTTCTGGTCTGTGTCAATGTCTCATGAGTTCTTTCATAAGTCCATCCCATTACTGCCTTATTTTTATTTTAAAAATCCACATGAAAATTCATAAATGTATTTCAGTGCCCATTTAATTATGTGCTTTATCTTAGTGTTTGCATTTCTAAATTTAATGCAAGCACATTTTAGTCTTTTTTGAACTGTGTTTCAAAATTCAGGCAAATGCAAAATCCTCAGCACATTAGGCTGGGAGAAGCATCTCAGGTCATTTTGTGTTGGAATTTGCATTGGAATTTGCAGAAATCGAATTCTTCAAGCACTCCTAAATACAACACAGTATCTTGTTAGTCACCTAGACACTGAAACCCTTTCACCTGTGTGGTAGGCCCATTGTGGGAAACAAATTTATCTGTCCTAGTTTAGGCATGTGGGAACTTGCACTACACAAGGGGAATGAAGAAGTCCTGTCTGTGGGGCAGGTATATAGGTGTGTGTTTCTGCAGTCACAACTGCAGAAAGTTGTGAGATGTGGCTCACTGAGCCAAAGAGATGTGGCGCAAATAGTTTGTCTGTTTTTGCAGATTAGCTTTCTGCATCTTAAAGCAGGGACATCTGTGTGACCACATCATCATGCACAGGCAAATGCACCTCTGCATCAAAATGTGAAGTGGGTGTGATGAATCACATCCACGGAGCATTTCATTAGAATGTCAAAGGCAGTTCCTCTGCTCCTCACTCCTCAGGCATGTTTTCAAGAGAACCAAGGGGGCAAACCACAGTTAGAATAGGTGGTCTCTCATAACAATGCGAGATGGTATCTCTTTTTAGGCATATTGAATTCATTTAGCAAACATAAAGAATTCTTGCTTTAGAAAAAGGCACACTGTGACAAAACCACAGGAAATTGAATTTTAAAGATGGCTGCCTCCCTCCTCATCCTTTGTGTTTATATATATATAGAGAGAGAGAGAGACAGAGACAGAGATAATGGGTTACATCTTTATCCTCTCCCTTGCTATTAAAGGCTACAACCAGGTTCTCTTAAGCTTTTTAAAAAAACAAACAAACAAACAATGAACAAATAATGTGTTAAGTGTAAGGGAAGGCTATGCAACTCCCATTTTCCATGTTTACAGCTGTTTCCTGTGAACACCTTTGTTGTATTCTGTCATTATATGTTTGTATTTAAGAAGTTTGTCCTGAGCAGGACCCAGTAGTCGAGGGAGGTGTTGAGAGTCTCAGAGCAAAATAGGCAGTAGGCAGGGGAAAAATCAGGCAGAGAATGTATGTGCCTTTATGTGATTAATGAAGATCTCTTTAAGAATCACTAAGATCTATTTCTCATGGATATAGGGATAATTACCAGAACCTTATAGTGAGAAAAGGCCTGAAGGAGCATGATAATGCCCAGGGCTTTTCTTCAGCTGCTACTCAATGGAACTCAGTTCCGGCAACTCTCAGGTGGGTGCCGTTGCCATTATACAGTAAGAGAACAAGGGAGATGTTCATGATTAGTTTCGGCACCATTTTTAAAAATAAAAACAGTACTGATAAGGCCAGTGCAGTAGAGCCTAATCTACTCAGTGCTGACTGTCCCTAAAACTGGAGCGACCCTTGTTGTTTCCATACTCTGCTGATAGCATGGCGTGGAATGGAAAATGATACTGGTGACACTGGATGTTCAGGGCTGTTGTATGCATTGTGTGTCTGTGCATGTGTGTGCGCAGAAACCTCTTGAGTTGTGTATCTCAGGAATGCAACCTACTGTACAAAGGTAAGGGTCACATCCATAGATTCACCTATTTTTGCATCTGGTCTCGCCCGCTGCTGGTATGCAGCCTCCAGAAGGTTGCCCATGAGAAATTGTTTTCTAGATCATAATCCAGATCTGGGTGACAGGTCAGGTCGGCATCATCTCTAGCTGGGACTGGTCTAAAACCTGAATTGTGCCCTGAATCTGATCGGGGGACCATGTACAGCCCTATCAGCAATGCTTGCCCATCTACCGCAAATCACCCACTACCAGCAGATCTCAATCTACTTCCTGCTTTATTCACTTTTCTCCATTTTTGTGTGTGCTTATAAATATGTTTAAATATTTTAAAAATAAATATACAAAAAAATAATATGAAGCAGAACATACTATGTGTGATGGTCCTGTAACAATGCCCCACAATACATTGCTTTAATCTCTTTAGTCATATCTAGGCATACTCTTCATTTATGGAAAGGAACCCAGTCTTAGATTTTATCTATTAGCACAAGGGATAATGGAAGCACAAGGGCTTCCTTCTGTGTAACCAGAACTCCTCCTCCTCTTCTCTTTCCTCCTGCCCCCCAAATCTGTTCTAGGTTTCCCCCCAATATTCTGGGACAGATTTTGGGGTGTGTGGAGAGGGAATAGAAGTCCATGCAACCCTTAACTCACAGTGCATTGATCTGCACTCCACCTTAATGATGAATGCCTTTTTTCCTGGGCTCGTAAAGAATCTTACAAACTGGATCACATTTGGGGTGCAAAACATTAAAGACTGCAATTCAGAGGTGCTATTGTAATGTGGAAACAGGTAACACTGTGATGCATTTATACATATTAAACAATTATTTACAAAAGAACAGCAGAGAATATCAGCTCAGGCTGTGCAATCCTTTAAGAAATAAAATAGTGCAAAAGGGCCCCATTTGTATTTAATTTGGACTGAATAGTATAAATTAAAAATTCAATTAAAATTATTCAATCCAAATTAAATAATTATGAAGTGAAAAAATCGTGTTTCTTTCTTTCTTTGACAAGGTGTTGTCTTTTATTCTTTTTTAATATCTTTGATCCTTCCTTCCTTCAAATAACATGAATTTAATGTGTAGTGTTATTAATTCCAGAAAAGCATAATATTTCAAGTGAAATGCTTAAGGAGATGTAAGGGAAGGAGGGCGGAAAGGACCTGGAGATTAAGATAATGTTTCATAAAGATTAAGATAATGTTTCATAAATAAAAGAGGATTTTTCATCTGTTCATGTAGCCAATTTTTTTCACATAATTCCCCACTTATGTGCTATTAAAATTTGCGTGAGAAAAACTGTTCTGCTTGAAGGCAGAAGGGAATGGAATTTTAAACATTTGGTTTTCTCTCTCTCTCTGGTATAGAAAGGGTATTTCTCCTTAAATTTTGAACATCTCAAACTACTAGTCCTGAAAATGATAACAAATTTGCAGCCTTGTAACATATACTATATTGACTGATTTATAATCAGAATTTTGTTTGTAGAACTTTTCTTTTATACTCCCTTCATTAAAGTGAAAATGTTTTCATTTCAAACTAAATTTTATTCTGCCACTAGAAAACTTGTTGCTTTCTGTAGACAGTGTAGACAGGCTTACGTACTACTTACTGTTAGAATTTTGTACCAATTTCAGATTGCCACCATATTCCCATTTATGCAGAGGAAAGCCTAATTGAACTCTGAGGTACTTTTGCAGACATATATACAGGTAAGTGTGTACAGGATTGTGGGCTAACAGTGCAATCTTATATATATTGCACTGTTAGCCCACAATCCTGTACACACTTACTTTGGGAGTAAGTCCCTAGCTGCTTCATCCAGACACAGAAATCCACCTAATATGTTAAAGACTAAAATGCTCATTTTTTAAAAAGCACCCTTAGAAGGAAAGGTGTTTATATGCAACTTAATACAGCTATGTGTGGATAGCGTGCACATTTGAATCTGCACTCAGATGTGCATTCCACTGAAAGCAATGCACAGAGACCATAGATGGCATCTGCATTCAGATAAGCATTTAAATGTGCATCAGATTCAACACCTAGGGTTCCTCATCCAGCAACTGCAAAGCATGCAAAACCTCGCCCAAGTGGATTTCCTTAGCTGGATTGGAGTGATAACTTCTATGGCAAATGATCCTCTGGCTCAGGTTTCCATTCCTGGTAGCTGCTGACAACTATGTCAGTTTGTTTCTGGTACCCAGCTAGGAATGTCAAGAGCAGTGCTTGAGATAGGGCAGGGGCAGAGGGGGCCTGACCCCTTATCTTCTGTGATGGCCCCCTTAAGATGGTTGTGAGGAGCAGGACTTGGCTAAAACTATAGGGCAGGCTTCCTCAACCTTGGGCCTCCAGATGTTTTGAGACTACAGTTGCCATCATCCCTGACCACTGGTCCTGCTAGCTAGGGATCATGGGAGTTGTAGGCCAAAAACATCTGGAGGGCCGAGGTTGAGGAAGCCTGCTATAGGGAGTCAGCAGTTCAGGCTAACAGATTTCACTAAGGACCGCCACATTTTGAGCACGGCTCATTTATAATCAAAACAAATCTGTGGTGGTGCTCCTGTTCTGGATTTTGTGTTCCATATCTCCTTCAAGAGGTGCAAACCACTTTGCAATACTGATCACACCCATGTGCCTAGGACAGAGGCAGAGAAGCTGTGGCCCTTCAGATGCTGTTGAACTTCGCCTCTCCCCAGCCCCAGCAAGCGTGGCCAGTAATTAGAAATGATAGGGGTTATAATCCAACAACACTGGGATGATCTCAGTTTCCTTGCACCAGCCTAGTGGAACATGCAAGTGGAGATGGTCCACTCCACTTAGACCTTTAGTCAATTTACCAGTGTTTCTCATCCTTGGGTCCCCAGCTGTTATTGGCCTACAACTCCCACCATTCCCAACGACTGCTCCTGCTTCCTAGGGATGATAAGAGTTGTAGTCCAACAACAGCTGGGGACCCAAGGTTGAGAAACACTGAATTAGATCATCCATATTAGTCACATGGATGCATCCCACTCTGTTCTGACAATGGATAGAATTGTGAAATTCTGTGGGAAGCTTAAATCACTTGGGAAGTTTTCACAGCAGCTTTCCACCTGAGTTGCCCTTCCTGTGCAGTTTTGTCATTTCAGATGCTGCTGAAGCAACCATGAAGTGGCAACCACGCTGTTCCAATAACATTCTCAGGGATAGCTGAGATGGTAGAGCATGAGACTCTTAATCTCAAGGTTGTGGGTTTGAGCCCCATGTTGGGCGAAATATTCCTGCATTGCAGGGGGTTGGACTAGATAATCCTCATGGTCCCTTCCAACTCTATGATTCTATGATCAGGCTAAATATATAGGATTGCGTTGTCAGTCAATTTGTAACCAGGTGAATTTCTTTTGCTTCCCAAACCCGGGGTGGTATTCAACTAAGTTTTACACGGAGCAGATCTATTGGAATTAACGGACCAAATGTAGTCATGTATATTATTTCCCAGGGGTCTACTCTGAGTAAATCTTAGTTGACTTCCATTCTTTTCTCCATTATCCTCAGTTCTCTGATTGGTTTAATAACTAGTTTGTATTTATAATAAAAATAATGTATAAATCCCTGTTGAGAAATTTGCTTACCTCTCCATCTCTCTGCTTTTTCCCCCATACAGAAAACGCCGTAAGCAGTTTACTCGATCACAGCTGAAAAGAGCTTGTAGGACCCCGTGCACTTTAATTCTGAGGAAGGTGAAGTCCCTTCTGACTCACAAAGAGACTCAAGAGAATTTGAGCAATCATTCACAGCTGAAGATGCAACAGTGAAAAATCTGTTTTGTTGCTATTTTGAAAGCATCACCCTATAAAGAAGAATTTTCAGAAATTGGACAGGAGAAGGTTCTTTCTGTGTCTTTATACAATGAGGACAGTTAAAGGCTGCATCTTGTTTTATTAAAGAGTAAAACACAGTTTTGAACTTTTCCATGCCTTGAAGTAAGGCAACCGGGATATAAGGAGGATATGTCAAAAAAGTCAGAAGATGGATAATATTCAGAACAGAACCAGACAACCCGTTAACCCACCATCAATGAACTTTCCGCTGCTGCTTCCCCCAGCACATCATATAAACTTCCATCAATAACACGAACTCTCTGAATGCAACTGTATGCATTCATACTATAGCATACTTCTGGTTCTGCCCTTTGAGGCTCCAGATATATTGCACTATCCCACCCCAAGCATGGAGATATATCTGCTGAAGCACAAATGCCAAGTTACATTGTCTTAACTTGATTTTGGGGTGCCCTGACTGAGGCATGTTGGTTTTCAGAAGTACTGAGAATCTTAGCTAAAGAAAGAACACATGTACACAGAAGAGTCTGAATGCAGACTGACGTTGGCTGAATTAGGTATCCAGCAATCCTCAATAACCATCTCTGAAAGTGATTTTCCATCAAATCTTGGAAAGAAGCAGTACTTCTTACGCGGTGGTTTTTATGAGTAGCAACCGCTGGGCTGACAGTTATTTCTTTAATGTAATATTAAATCTCTCTCTCTCATTATTTATTGATATTGTTACAGAACCTTGAGTAGCTCAGACAAGCAGGCCCTTTCTTGATAGATGACGGTGTCCAAGTTTTGATAAACAGAAGAAATAATTATTGTCAAACAGGGACAAAGGCATGCAGCAATCACTCAACACTCAGGCCGTGGCATGTCAAACATTTATATCACACACGCACACACCCATCCTGCAAAGAATCATGGGAACTGTAGTTTAGCTACCACTAAGCTACCATTTCAAGCTCCACAAAAAAACTAGTGTTCCCCAGGATTTGGGGTGTGTGTGTGTGTTGTATCTGATTTAAACACATTTTGTGTGTGCAGCCTTATAACTGCACATCAGATGCTGACTTCTTATGGTTGACCATCCCAGAAACTCCATAGGACTAGCCAAGCACCATCACCCCCTCTGATGTCAAACACAGGACAAGACCGCTGAGAAAGAGGAGGAGAGGCCAGCATGCTTGGATGAATCTGAGATTTGCAGAAGTAGAGAAAAAACCCACCTTTAAAAAAACTACTAAGGGGCAAAACAGCAACAAACAGTCAATTGAGCATGCTCTTTGACAGCTAGAAAAAAGAGGATAACTTGGGGTTGGTGGAACAGGGAGTGAAATGTCCTGATTGAGCCCTTGGTGGTGGGCACGAAACCCTGAACAATCTACTGCAGGATATACAATGCTTCATTGTGAGTCCTACCAATAGTCTATAAACCCATTCTGCCAGAGGAGGAAACAATCTTTCAACTTGATATAATTTTGGATGCAGCTGAGACTCTCATTGCTCATTCCAGATCCCCTGTACTAGCTGTGCACCCTGATCTGACTTGGATTTGTGCCCCAAACTCATTTGGGGACCTTACCCAATCTCATCCCCCATTCCTTGCTGCCAGACCACCAGCCATTTTGAAAGACCTAGATTGCTTCAGGTTAGACCTGATCTGACCTGGGTTGATCCAGGGCTGCATGAACCCCATCTGGCCAAATTCCAAGGCAAACTGAATCAACCTGATTTAGTTCTGAATCTGATGTACAGTCCTAGTATTAACCACACACTTTAAATATATCCCAATGTCTATACTTTTTGTAATCCATGATATGAGTTCCTACTGTGGTGGAACTTGATCACAGTTCCTCCCAAAAATATGTTTAAAAAGGCTGGCTAGAGCACAACAGCTGCAACAATTGTCATCATGTTCCAATGATAAGTATAATTGGCATTGGGTTTTTTTTTTATTTTTTAAAAAATCAATTGTGGCAGATAATTATTACATAAGGAAATGTGTTGCAAATTCTCAGTTACCCGAACTGCTTTGTTGGTTCCCCCACTGCCTGTTTTTATGCCTACAAATGTGAATGTATATTTTTCAATAAAATAGAAAGGCCATGGAGTGTATTGTACCCATTTGGAAAATGCAGAAAGAGTGGGGGCGGGGCGGCAAATATCTTCTTCAAGAAACCTTGGTTGTACTTCTGAGTGCACCTGATGATGGGATTCCAAAACCATTAGAGCAATGACTCTGGATTTACACATTTTGCTTTGTAGCCTGATTGTTTGGGATTGGGTAACAATTTATATACAGGTATCGACTTCCCGATTTAGCCCCATGTACAGAAGGCACTGCAAAATGAAATGTACAAGACTGTTGTGTAGTAGTGGAAAGTGAGAGATGAGAGTTTGGAAAGTTTGGTAATGTGTGTATCTGCATACAACTGTTGGGCACTCGTGTAAATATATCTCTGTACAATAAAGCTTCATTGTTACACAAATGTTTGATTCCCTCTGCACTCTGCAAGAAGAACCCCGAATCAACTGAATGCTTGAAAAGAAGATGCCATGTGAACTCCCTTCCTCCATATGAGCCAACCTGGACGCATCATCATCTGATCATGATCTGATGCCCTGCTTCGTGTCCCTCCTCTACTAGATGTCTGGAGGGTAGCCACACAAGAATGGTGTGGCTTTCTGCAGTGGCTCTCTCCTTGTGCAATGCTCTCCCCAGGGGGGCTCGCCTGGCACCTTCATTACATATTCTTAGTCACAAGGCAAAAGCACACTCTTCTCCCAGGCTTTTGGTTAATTAATAATCTATGGCCTTTAAAATGGTTGGGGGAGTTTCTGTTTGTTACCATGTTACGTATTTTTGTGTTTTTATTGTGTAAACTGCCCTGTGAAGGGTGGTATAGATCATGGGTAGGCAAACTAAGGCCCGGAGGCTGGATCTGGCCCAATCGCCTTCTCAATCCGGCCCACG